CAATTACAACCGTAAGAAGTTTTACTAGTAGCACATTTTTATTTTCTATATAAATCTTATTGTACCACGAAAATCATGACAAATGATCTACATACCCCCTACCCTTAAGCGTGCGTTTATACTTACTATCTGGATTGGATTTTGATAATTTAAAACGGTAAATTTTTTCATCGCAATACTCGCCACCGCCCCGCATTGTAATTATAGTATATTAAACACTTTTTATAAAGTTATTGATTATGAGAGTATGAGAGTTAAATATCTTATGAGGAATAACAATTTCTGGTTTCTCACCATATCTCAAGAAAAATTCCGTTATTCTGACACAGGCTTCTTTTTTGCTGATCAATGCGACATGTATTCGATCAATTAATGTAACAGATAATGCAAAAAAATATATCAATAAAGTTGCACTATTATGAAATAATTTACAAGTTATACGAAGTTTCTCACCATATGTAAATTTCTAGTATTTTTTAAATTTAACTTTATTGATGCAGTTAAATAAAAAATTTTCGAACAAATCCCAGAAAAATAAATATATATAGCATCTAGGTGCCGGGCACATACATAATACTGTAATAAAATACAGTTGCAACAAATTTCTACGAAGTATTGTACACGTCACTTTTTACTTTAAGATTCATTGCTTACTACTATCCTGTCTTTTAGCAAGCCAATGATTATTCTAATTACTTTTTTCTTCTTAATTATGTCCATCATGTAAGAAAACCATAAAGAAAATATTGTAGGCCATAGTGTGGGGGGATTCTATAATATTAAATGCATGTTTAATTACACTGGAGGAATTAATATAACAATTAATAGATAAAGTCATCAAAAATCGCATAAAAATAAAAAATGGCGAGGCCAGCGGACCCTCTTCTTTATTTAATAAAAAATTATTGCCGGAATGACAATATACAAATAAAACAATATTTTTATATAATAAAAAAAAATAAAAAAAAAATACAAACATGTCTCAAAAAAGCGGGCCTAGCGCTAGTTATTCGTAAAATTGGTTAACGTTAAATAATTCTGCATTAAGGTAACACTGTATAAAATTTAATACAGGCTATTGATTATCAAAGCCCGGTCAAGTTTTCCTCATTAACCTGAACATCAAGTGATCTCGATCTAAACCAAAATAAAAGGCGGACCGTTAAGTCATATGATAGTATGTATCATACGTACTTTATTTTTCCAGCACAGATTTCGGCTGAATCATTACAAAGTGAAGCAAAAAAATTCGAGTACAACCAGCATAAGATTTCTCAAGAAAATGTCGACCCAACCATAATGAAAGCACGTAAATAAAAGAAAAACTTTCAAAAAATTTCTTAATTTATCAAAAACAACGAGAATAAACAAAATTAATGATGTAAAAGTTTTTAATCTTTCATAAATGTATACGTATTATTATGTGTTGTAACTATACATGTTGGCAAAACTATAAATCCTCAAAATCCCAAATCCCAAATCCCAAACATAATAAAATTGTCCCAAATCCCAAACCCAAACATAGTAAAATTCATCCCAAATCCCAAACCCAAACATAGTAAAATTCATCCCAAATCCCAATCCCAAATTCCAATCCCAAATCCCCAACATAGTTGTAACATTTGCAGAATTAACCGTATGCTAACACTAAATCGGACTGGCACGTGAACATCCGGAGCGCACATTTTCGGGTTGCATTAGATTTACCGTATTCAATACCCTGAAGAGGAGGGTGCAATTCAAGGGGGTTCTTTAGGCAAAGGTTATTTGTATTGGACATCATTATTAATTTATACTCGGATATAAGTTAGAATTTTCGCACGATGGTATTGCGGTCTTAATTAGAGATGTGCCTCGCGCGAGATAAACTTAACATGTCATATGACCTCTCGCAAAATGTGAGACGACCTCATACGGGACGAAATTTTGAGTTTAGCAGATTATTGGTTTTAGTGATAGCTTTATTGCTTGTTCTTTCTTTAATCTAATTAATTATTTTTATTAAAAAAATATTTGTATTTTATAAATCATTGATCACTAAGATTCCTTCATTAAAAATTTATTAATTCACGCGTAGGATGTGCATGGGCACATCTCTAGTCTTAATCTGTGGAATACTATTCTACAAGGGTACAGAATGCAGCGCTATACAGTAAAGTCTAATTGTCAATAGTACAGGTATTTCTAAATTATACAAATTTTTTAAAATTTAATTCTTTGATAATTGTTTTATCAAATTAACACTTGATTTAATATACAGTATTGATTAATTTTTTAAATGTTTGGCTTCAAAATTTATTTTTAATTATATTCTATATATTTTTTTTTCTAATTTATTAAAAAGTTGGCTCTATCAAATTTACAGGATCGGTACTTATTCTATTTAATTTAAAAATTTTAAAATAATTGAACATTATTATAATTTTTTTAACAAAGGTTAATTACTTACGTTGCGCGGTTGTATTAATTAAATTAATTAAATTAATTAAATTAATTAAATTAATTAAATTAATTAAATTAATTAAATTAAAGGTAATTTTTTTTCAAAAAATTTACGTATAAAATTTAGGAATGTCTGCCAACTCATTCGACCAATAAGTACAATGACTAAAGGAAAATGACCCTTTCCTAATAGCAATGAAACTTTTAGGTCTTAATATATATTTATTACAGAAAATTAATAAATTTTAAACACTGTATATACAATTAAAGACAGTACCATAAGCGTTTCTTGTTAATCAATTCATTATGGCAATTAAAAAATATAGATATATTGATATTACCTATTCCATTATGTATTCGTCTGATAATAAAGAATCACGTTTTCTCGTAAAATCATCCACAGCATATTCCAAAAATTTATATTCATCTTCTCTATATATCCTAATATACTCCAATTCACGCGAATTTTTGCCACTTTCCATCATTTTCAGAACTTTCTCATTGGTTTGTTTAAAATGTGATAAAAGGTGTTCTACATTTTCTAAAATAAGAGAAATAACTCGTCCTTCGATTACTGGAAATATAGGTAATTCCTTGACAGCATTATCCAATTCATCAAGAGTATGAATAATTTTATCACCAATTAATAAATTTACAGGTTGTGAAGAATCATCGATTACATTTGTAAATTTTAAACCATCCTCTTTTGTTAAAACACTTATCCACATTGCACCGATAGATTCGCGTGTCAATTCAGCGCCACCTTTTTTTCTAGTAAGAGAAACTAAAGGCTTGATTCCATGACATTGCATAAATATAAATTTTTCTTCTTCAAATTCATCGTTTTCATAGAAAGGTACAGGAAAAGAAATTGCAGACCATGGATTATCGATCAACGTAAAACCATGAATGAATAATAATTCCGAGTTAGGCTTATCACCATATGAGATACAAATTTCAGTATCAGGGAGAATAGGTTCAGGAGAATCAGATTTTGTAAGAATTAATTCAACACCTTCAGGCGTGAGTTCCCATCGAGCGTAAGGTTTTAAAGAATGATTAGCAAAATCAAGAAATGGTACTAAATGGTAATCATCAGAAACAGGGCCAATGAAATTATTGTCAGAAGCAAGACGACTACCAAAAGATAATACTCTAGACCAAAATACACCATCAGCCCATACAAAATGATCAAAAGTAATAATGTCATGATTATCGGAAACATTATTATTATTATTATTTGAAGAAGATTGGGTAGACCATTGATTAAAATGAGGACGTAGTCTATTATATTCACGTTGAAGTTTATTGAACTTTGCGTCTACGGCCGATTTCAAACTTGTTCCATCTAGACAAGCTCTTAATGTTTTATCATAAAACAATGGAGTATGAAGAGTATGCGGTAAAATATCAACATACTGTTTCCATAAGGAAGGTTCTCCTCCGCAAGCAAGGCGGCCGAAACGTTCATATAATAGAAAACATATAAGTACCATACGTTCGGTTAATGATTCACCATGTTTTATTAAAGCTTGAAAAGTTTCCTCAAGTTTAGGAGCTTTTTCTTTAGCATATTTTCCAACTTTTGTCGTGTTAAGTAAAAGATGAAAAGGAATATATGCAACTATTGAATTATCACGAGCCGCTTGGCGTTTTAAGACAAGACCTAAACCTTTATCTGGAATCTTTCGAACATTGATATCAGACATTACACCATTTTCTGCATTATCGAGTATTGTACTGTAGTTACTATATTTTCAGTATTCTTTAAAAGTTATTGGTAAAAGCGAAGCTAAAAATACCTTGCGCCCATGACAAAAACTCTTGCAATGAAGTTGCCATTGTTACCATTAGATCCGAAAGAGTACGTTCGTACGTAAAAAAAAAATATATATATATATATATGTTATAATAGATGGCTCTACAAGGAATTATCTTGTGATATGCAGGAGTGGTGCATATTTGATGTCTTATCGTTATTACAGTTCAATTTAGTTGGTATAAGTGTTCGCTAGGTAAATTCACTACAACAACATAGTTAGGATGACTTTGTTACCTTAAATTTTCTAGTGCGTCAGATGTGCGTCAGGGCGCAAAACCATCTATCGATTATCAGTTATGCTCATGTACGTACGTAAAACTTTTGGTTATAAATTAAGTAATACTTGTGTTTTTCGTATGTATATGTCTAGCAGTTTGGCAAAAATCAACAGTATAACTCTAAATAACATATGCAACCGTTTTAAATTCAGAAATTTCATCTTGTCAATGGAGTAATGAAGCCAACACTCAAGAATAATGTGCTAGTGCTCAAAATTTAAAAGCCTTCAAGTCAATCTATCTTTATTAGCTTATTTCTACAAAGCACTTTGGTTTTTTTACATTTGCATTAATTGATATGTATATTACAGGGAATGAGGAGCATGCCCTATGTATACAACTCACTCATCATGGTGAACTCTCGATAAACTTCAACTCGATATAGTGAAGTACATATAGTATTCTCTTGATATAAGTTATAGTGAAGCTTTTTTTTTTCAGCCTGACGACTTCACTATAACGAGAGTGAATTGTACTTGCCGATAAGACTATTGGAATTTGGGATTTGGATTTGGATGGATTTTATGTTTGGGATTGGAATTCGGATTTGGGATTTTGTTGAGAATTTATACAGTCAACTCTTTCTATAACGAACTAACGGTCCTAGAAGGAAAAAAAAAGTTCGTTATAGAAAATTACTATGTTTTCTTAAGAACCCATAGCATTTTCTATACCGAACTACTATGGAATTTTAAAATTTTGGGTTCATAATATCCAGAATTCGTACTTTGGGCAATACCGCATCGCAGTAGAGGTCTGATCCGTCGAATAATTACGTATTCAAATATTCAATGAATACAGTCAACTCTTTCTATAACGAACTAACGGTTCTGGAAGGAAAAAAAAAAGTTCGTTATAGAAAATTACTATGTTTTCTTAAGAATCCATGGCATTTTCTATACCGAACTACTATGAAATTTTAAAATTTTGGGTTCGTTATATCCAGAATTCGTTATATGGAGGTTCGTTATATCCATAGTCGACTGTACTTGAATTATTTTACCAAATTGAATATCGATATTCGAATATGTATATTTATTTTCACCAATTAAATTCAATAAATATTCAGTTATACAAATTTATATATACCGGTATAAAAAAAATTAAAAATTCGTAAATTACATACATGAATCGTCTGTTTTTTTCTCATGAAAGTATTAATCTATTTCGAAAATAAGATGTTCTCAAGCATCTCCCTTAATGTAATTGGCTAGCGATGACGTAGTGCACAAGCACTAAAGGTTAATTTAATAATCATCACGGCAATTTTAACCAATCGGCACCTCCATGATAAAAAAAAAGATGGTCTCGACCATCTTTTTTTTCATTGCGATGATGAACTCACTTGACTGAAATTCCGGAATTATTTAACGTTAACCAATTTTACGA